GCTACTTAAATTCTCATACTTCTGCCACAGTGCTAATCACCAAATTCCCTCATGTTGCAAGCTAATGAGCCTTGGGAGTAGCTGCACATCTAATGAACAGTGTACGCCCATATAGTCTGCATAAATGAAACAACAGTTAAAACTCACAATGTATAGGCCGTTGAACAAAATTAGGACAGTTCTCTTGCTGTTCCTGGTAGTATATGGTTTCTTCATAGGTGTTCAAATCTTCCAGTTCAGTACTGAAAATAAAGGAAGGGCCATATCATTATCCTTTTCTGAAAAAGAACTTAGAAAACAATGAAAGTATTTGGATATTTTTGATTCCTTGATCCCAGAGTTATACAGTACATTGGTTGGAATCAGTCCTGTTTCTCTTCATCAATCGAAGTTTACAGATGGTTCTATTAGCCAAGAAATCTTGGGAGTGGTTTATACGATGTACTACTTTTCAATGTTGTACGGAAACATACTCATAAAAGTAATATAGCAACACAACGGGACCTCTAATGTTGTTGGATCAATTCTCTAGAAGTTCTGCAACATTGAGAATCCCCAAAAAAGAACACGGAAAATAATATTCTACATTTTCAAGTATTTTTTTGCAATAATGAAAGTTGTCTATACTTTTGAGAGAGGATAGTGCTTATTAGGGCCATGTGTAAAATCACTTCAGAAATTCAGTTGAAAGCTAATTTGATCAAATGTAAAATCAACTTTCCAAATCAGATAATTTGGAATTAAACTGTCAAATCAAATCTTTCCAAAAGAAACCAAGCATCAATGGTCTTCTGTGTATGGAAACAAAGCTTTCTTCCTATAACCAAAATGATAGGAATAACTCAATTCAACAGTCTTATTCAGATATTTAAATTAACTTGATTTGACCATTCGCTTCGGAAATACAAATTGAATCACTGATTTGAATCAAACTCATCTGATTATACAAATTGAAATGATAAACGATTTTTTACAATGAGTTGCAAAAAATAGATGCAAAATATGAAGCACCTGGACACAGGAGGATAACAATTAATTAATAATTAGATAGATTCTTTGGGGATCAGTTCAGGAGAAACATGGAATTCACAACTGAGAATGCCAACCCCAACTAGTTGAGTTCTTCAGATCCTAAACAACAATTATGTGGTCCACACATGCTAACCAATCAGGAACAGGTCATATAGAATTTAATAAAATGTTTTAAACAACTTGAACAAATAAATAAATGTGCTATATTCTATAAATCACCTAACACTCAACATCATGCCTACTTAATATCCAGCAACTATAGAGGCAGTTTGGTATAGGGCAGGGGTGTCAAACTCAGTTTTATTGAGGGCCACATCAGGGTTGTGTTTGACCTTGGGGGGCTGGGTAGGCATGGCCAGTGTGGGCATGGCCAGCTCAATGTCACTTGAGTCAGGGGCACCTGTGGAGGCCTGAGCGCTCTGAGCTCCTTTTTCGTTGGCAGAAGCACTGTGGACCAGTCCTTCACTGTTTTCAGGGTGGCCCCTTAGCACCTTATGGGTTGGATCTGGCCCACAGGCCTTGAGTTTGACATCCCTGGTATAGAGGCTAAGGTACTAGGCCAGAAACCAGGAGACCTTAAGTTCTAGCCCTGCCTTAGGCATGAATCTAGTTGGATTGTCTTTGGTCCAGTCATTGTCACTACCTGCAGTTTATGAGCATGGCCAAATAATCCTTACTTTTATTAAACATTATAATGTAGCCAAGATTACTGGAAGTGGACTGGAAGCCACAGGACACCAGATGTACAATCAAATACCACAAAAAGTAGTAATCAGCCATCCAATATTCAACAATCTGCTTCAAAATTTATTTATTATAATTATAAAGCTGAAATATAAATTAAGAGAGCTACCTAAACAAACACAAACTCAAAATATGTCATTTGTACATCTAGAAAAACTGCTAAGTGAAAGTGACTCTCGCTCATCCAACCATCATTGGGATAGTTGCTGCTCAGCCTTACACAAACAATAGCTTCATGCAGTTAAATCATCCTTCTCAACTCTACTCATCAGCTTAGAATAAGCATCTTGCTACACTTATGAAGCAATCTTAATTGGTCCTAATGTCAACTCATAAAATAGTTCTATGGTCGTTTTAGAGTTGCCAACAGAAAGGGAGAGGGGAGTATTGCGGCAGCTTGGAAATCAAAAGTGCATTCCATAGTTTTCAAAGATAGTAACTAGGCGACTGAAGTTTCTACCGTGCAAAATTCTAACTGGAGAACATGATTGATGGCTCTTGGCTATAGATGTGTCTCATTGGAGAATATGAATTGTGATATACCCAGGGGGTGGGGGAAAACCAGGGTCAAGGGTGACAATGAATTATGTGTTTCAGAGTTGGCTACACCCAGGCAGTGCTGGACATCTTAACGCCCAATAAATCATTTTGAGGTTTTGGAAATTTGGCTCGAGACTCATGATTTAATTGGGGTAACTGCCGGAATCCTGACACCTGACCTTTGTCTGCTTACCACAGTATCAGATACAGAAGGGACAGAAACCCAAGTCATGTTGCTGTCTAAACAGAACCTACCAGACATCTTAACCCACATTCTTTCAAGACATGCAAACCACTGTAATCAAAATCCACATGCTGTTGAAATTCACGGATACCTATAACGTAAGCATTTTTGGATCGAGCAAATGCAAATATTTGCAATCTTCGGTTTATAGAACTTCAAAAATCTCAAGTCGGAGACAATGAAGAAGGGAGTGTGGGAAGAAATTTCTCTTGTTGGAGAGAAAAGAAAAAAAAAATTGCACATTATTTCAGATCCCCAGAACATGTGTACTTCATGTTCACAGACAGGTTGGTACAAAGGGATTAAGTCCAAATAGAAGTAGTGATGTTGTAATATTTAGGAAAAAAACACGCAACAAGGAAATACTTAGCCAAATGTTTGCATTACCATTTTCAATGTTGTCTATAAAAATATTTGTATCCCTGATTTAAGCCCGATTAGAGATGGTTTGTGTATTACACTTCCATTCAGCTTTTCTTCCAAGACAATGTAGCCAATGCAGCTTTGCTTTTCTCCCAAGCAGGAAGGGAGGAAGCTCGAGCCCAGCCTATGAAATAGATTAGACTTCGATACAGATTTGCTACTTCCCAGGCAAATCTACGAATATATTCCACATCATTGCATTGAAGTCTGCTGCTAAAAATTATGATGCAAGTCAAGAAAGCTAATTGTGACTGATGGATTGGCTCCAGTTGTGAGGATCTCAGCAGTGAGCAGGGAAATGAGAGATAGTAGTTCATAACAATGCTTTGCATTAATGATTTTGGCAAAAGGTAATAAAAGGTAAAAACACTAGGAATATTTCCTGAAGCAAATCTTTTCAATTACAGTATGGTTTATAAAGCAGAGATATAGCACCCATAAATTTATTCCTGTTCTGTTTTATTTTTAATGCAAAGAACACTGCTGTAATCATGTTCACCCAAGAAAGCCAGTAATGAAGGAATTTTATTAGATGTTTACAATTTTCCTCTGTTCACTTTAACTTCTTTCTCCTCTGCCGAACCTACTAGCTGTTGCATACATAAATACAAAACTGAGGATAGGACACATATATACAAAGGCAGTTTCTGAATTTCATTTGTAAGATAGAACATATGTACCCACAAAACACTTTACAAAAGGCAATTTAGCACTGCTATTTACAGAAACCTGATACCACAGGCAGGATATACACATAAAGGAAATCTGAAACGAATTCCTAGGCACTAAAGATATACTGTATATTCACTTACATTTCAGGAGTCAAGTATGCATCATCTGGATTATCTGGGGGAAAAACATTTAAAGGAAACTATTACTGGAACCATACAATATAACAGAGAAGTTAAATTCACCAGTGTAGTGCTTGAATAGATCCATTCTCAGTAGGAGTTCCAGAGATTTCTGGATTTCCATAAACTTATCTCAAACTTTAGATTAATTATTGGGTTAATATTGGAGAAGACTATGAGAAAAATATCCAAATAGAAGTTTCATTATATAGCAGAGTTGCTTAACCATAAAATGGATAGCATATACAGGTGAAACTCGAAAAATTAGAATATCATGCAAAAGTTCATTTATTTCAGTAATGCAGCTTAAAAGGTGAACCTAATATATGAGCTAGACTCATTACAAGCAAAGCAAGATAGTTCAAGCCGTGATTTGTCATAATTGTGATGATTATGGCTTACAGCTCATGAAAACCCCAAATCCACAATCTCAGAAAATTAGAATATTGTGAAAAGGTTCAATATTCTAGGCTCAAAGTGTTCCACTCTAATCAGCTAATTAAGCCATAACACCTGCAAAGGGTTCCTGGGCCTTTAAATGGTCTCTCAGTCTGGTTCAGTAGGAAGCACAATCATGGGAAAGACTGATCTGACAGTTATGCAGAAAACCATCATTGACACCCTCCATAAGGAGGGAAAGCCTCAAAAGGTAATTGCAAAAGAAGTTGGATGTTCCCAAAGTGCTGTATCAAAGCACATTAATAGAAAGTTATGTGGAAGGGAAAAGTGTGGAAGAAAAAGCAGCAGAGATGACCACAGCCTGGAGAATATTGTCAGGAAAAGGCCATTTAAAAATGTTGGGGACTTTCACAAGGAGTGGACTAAGGCTGGAGTCAGTGCATCAAGAACCACCACACACAGACGGATCCTGGATGTTCAAATGTTGTATTCCTCTTGTCAAGCTGCTCCTGAACAACAAACAACATCAGAAGCATCTTACCTGGGCTAAAGAAAAACAGACCTGGTCTGTTGCTCAGTGGTCCAAAGCCCTCTTTTCTGATGAGAGCAACTTTTGCATCTCATTTGGAAACCAAGGACCCAGAGTCTGGAGGAAGAATGAAGAGGCACACACTGCAAGATGATTGAAGTCCAGTATGAAGTTTCCACCGTCTGTGTTGATTTGGGGAGCCATGTCATCTGCTGGTCCACTGTGCTTCATTAAGTCCAGGGTCAACACAGCCGTCTATCAGGAAATTTTGGAGCACTTCATGCTTTCTTCCGCAGATGAGCTTTATGGGGATGCTGACTTCATTTTCCAGTAGGACTTAGGACCTGCCCACACTGCCAAAAGCACCAAAACCTGGTTCAATGACTGTGGGATTACTGTGCTTGATTGGCCAGCAAACTTGCCTGACCTGAATCCCATAGAGAATCTATGGGGCATTGCCAAGGGAAAGATGAGAGACATGAGACTGAACAATGCAGAAGAGCTGAAGGCCGCTATTGAAGCATCCTGGTCTTCCATAACACCTCAGGAGTGCCATAGGCTGATAGCTTCCATGCCACGTCGCATTGAGGCAGTAATTGCTGCAAAAGGGGCCCAAACCAAGTACTGAGTACATATGCATGCTTATACTTTTCAGAGGTCTGATATTGTTCTATGTATAATCCTTGTTGTATTGATTGCATGTAATATTCTAATTTTCTGAGATTGTGGATTTGGGGTTTTCATGAGCTGTAAGCCATAATCACAATTATGACAAATCACGGCTTGAACTATCTTGCTTTGCATATAATGAGTCTTTCTCATATATCAGTTTCACCTTTTAAGTTGCATTACTGAAATAAATGAACTTTTGCACGATATTCTAATTTTTTGAGTTTCACCTGTACATTTAATTAAAAATAAATAAAATATGGAATCAAAGGAGTTAAAGGTGATATTTGTCACTCATTGAAACTTGATGTCAATTAGTGTGGAGAGCCACAGTGATGCAGGTCACTTCAGATTGAAGAACCTGAGAAACGGGGAAAGCCTTAGAATAGCAGCAAACATCACTTACTGAATTGTGGTACAAAAGCAAAATAATCCCAAATTTAAATGAACAAATTCTTTTATTGTTCAACTGCTATCAGGATATGTAGAAATAAGTACCTCACTCTATTACAAATGACTGCAGTTCTGGGCACCTACTAACCATTTCTTTGCAATGCCACCAAGAAAGTACCCTACCTGGACAATTCTGTTGGAAGGCAGCAAGATCTACCTTGGGAGGTCTTAGTGGCTTCTTTGGAGGAGGACCAAGCTCTTTGATAGAAGGGAGGAGCTTGATTTTTGGAAGCTTGGTATCTTCATCATCAGGACATCTTTCTGTACCAAAGGAATGAAACGATCTTAAGATTTGAGGAAAGAGGAGTGGAAAATGTATATTCATGAAACAACAAATTGTTTTCTTCTGGTTCTAGCATCTTTCTTTCCTATTCTTAAAAGTTATGTAGGAAAGGTCCATGCCAATGTATGCCTGCACTGGCCTTTCAGCTACAGAACTGGCAGCATCTGTACCACAGTAACCAACAAGGTATCATTTAATCTCCTCCAAACTCTGGTTCCTAGTATTTTGGAAGGAAAGGGAGAACCATTCATCCAAATGTTACAGCATGAATGGGCAATTTTTTGATTACAGGAACCATACTTCTCCTTTTTTAAAAAAATAATAATTGATGGATGAACCCTGCAATGAATGAGCAGCGATGCAAAAATATCATTGAAGCAAAGTGGGACAGAGGACTTGTGTTTTGGGGGAATGGTAGCTAAACTATATCCGCCTTAAAGGACTGGACTCATTCTTTTTTATTCTTGTACTTTTCTGCAAAAAAAAAAACAAAAAAAAAAAACCCAACCTGACAGAAAATCATACTGCTGTTTAATCTGCAGCAAAGCAAGTAATTTTAAATACACTGGACTTAATGGAAAGACTCATTGACACAGAGAGAGATCCCTAGATTACTTTGGACCAGTCGTTCCTCCTCAGTTCAACCTATATTAAATCGTTAAGGCATAAAATTAATGAGCTGCTTCCTAGGCTATGTCACTTCTCTGAGAAAACGTGGAATATGAATGTGGTAAACAAATAAAAGTAATGGCCCTGGGGACTGCAAAAAAATTGCAGTCTTGCATATTGTATATTGTGGAATTGAAAAAAGAGAAGGGTTCAGCCCACATTATTCAAAGCCTAGAGCAACTTTCCCAAATTTAGGACTTTTTTGATTAAAAAAGGGAGAGAAAAGGCATGGCAGCACAGAAACAACATGGACAAAATAGTTGAAGTTTCTTTTAATTTATGAAACTTATATGGCCATCCATCTATCCAGTGAAACTGTGTGAGATTATATAAATTTGATTAATAAAATCATTACTTCCCACCTATTATTTGCTTAAATGGGACAGCCAAATACATTTCCTACATAAAATAATTTCTATTTTTTTCTGTGAATGTTGTCATAAATATAAAACCTAAAGACATTCAATGAAACTATAGGATAGAAAGAGCATTACTTCTTTACACAACCAAAGGATATTGGACAATGTTGTGTTGGAAAAGGCCATCAACAACCAAAAGCCATGATAACTATGGAGTTACTGATTTTAAGAACCTGTGTGCCACTTTATAAAATCAACTCAGTTTTTCAATGTTCTTTTGCTGAGGAAAATGAATAAGACGACATGATGATGCATCTCTCCTGCACGCAGAGTGGAAAATAAGCAGCTAATAAGATGGGATGGGTATGATCTTGCAGAACTTGTTTATGTTATTTTATGACAGCCACACTGTATGCTAGACTCATAAAAAATGGGGGGTGGGGGAGGGAAAGCCTGTGACTCATCACTGAAAAGCCACCTAGAAAGGTCAGTTGGGAGAAAATCCTGGAAGCTACATTCAAAATCTTTTGTATGAATCACCTTCATAACCGTAAGTTGGCAAAATTTGCCGCTTAATGTTAAGTTCCTCTTGGGAGGCAACTTTATCCGGGGGAAAAATAAAATCAATTAAATATTAATCTTCTTCTGTGTTGGCTTTGGTCTTGGATTTTGTGAAGATTTGTCAAAGCCAGTTTCCCAATGGTAGGTTTCTCCTGAGTTTGCAAAAAAATCATTTCAGCAGCCACAACAGCATGTTCTGAATGTTTGTCTGGGGAGCCACCACATTTTTTTTCTTTTTGGTTACTATTAGAGCAAGCACATTGCTTAATATTTATGAAGAACATACGCTGATTAGTAACTGGTTGGGTGCCATCACTTCAAGGCTTTAATCAAACAATAGAGAAATAACACAGTCAGAAAACTTAATCTTTATCCATCTCCTACCAGTATTAAGCTATAGTCTGTAAAACAAGGCATGAAGTTCGCTGTTGCATTCGCTGTCCTGTTGTCAGAGCCTATGTATCAAGTTGATTTGATGGTATGTTGGGAAAAGCTTTATGATATTTTGGCTCTCAAATGTCCCCAAAGAGAAGTTCAGCTTATGTTAGTTTAAGAATTGTCATTCTAATAAAGAAGGGGAGTACCTTCTATGATGGCTAGCGTGATATGGACCTTTATCTACCACAACCCTCTACTACCACCCAATATTGTTAAGAGTGAATATATATTTTATAGCTTCATAATAGAAATAAACTCAACAGAACCTATTTGTATTGGACTCTTCCACATTTGTAAATAGTGAGACAAGATGACTTAAAGAACACAAAAGGCAAACTATCTGTACTAACCCTAGCTTACAACCTCAAAAGAAAAAAAACAGTTATCACCAATGGATATATGATACTTCTAAAGGCTAGGAAGCAGCTGTAAACTAATCACTTTTTGCCTATAATTGCTCTTAGACTTACTTGAAGCAAATATAACTGGCTTAATATCAGAAAAGAAAAAAAAACATAATATTTACCATTTGAGACCTTGCTTAGACTGTTCAAATTGTTCGAACTACTTGGAGAAAAACCAGCAACCACTTTATTTAAGCTTGCATGACTTCTTGGAGGAACTGGAGGTGAAATTGTAGGAACAAATTCATTGTGTACGGGGGATGAAGGCTTACACACATCAAGAACCACCCCTTGCTTAAGTCCAGCTATTTTTGCTTTGTCCTCTGTCGAAATCGCAACATTAACAACTTTTGGGTGGGAAAGAGAAGTTGTCCTGATTGTATGCTGTGGTGGTGTTGCACCACATTTCCAGTCACCTTGTGCTGAGGCACTTTCCCAAATGTGCAGTGTGTTGCGAAAAGAACTGTTTGCTCCTTCAGACCCTTGAGGTCTTGGATGTGGTTTCTGTAATTCTTCCCCCAATGAAGGTGGCTTGCAAATGGCCCCAGAGAGGTTGGGGTCCTTCCTATCTTTGAGCTTGACCTTTAGGAATATCATAGGCTTGACTTGCCTGAGTTCCAGTTTCTGTGACGTGTAACTGAATTGCTTGGTTTGCTGTTCAGGATCTGGAACCTGCCTTTGGTTCAAGGGTTTTGGCGTGGGACGAGACACAGACGAGCCACCGGTATTTTGCCGTGGACTGAATTTGGTAGTAGGCTTCTTTGCAGACTCCAGGAGCATATTGGAAAAATTGGAATCATTTTGAAACATTGCTCGGAGACTGCCAAAGTCTCTGGGCTTTTCCTAAAAAAGAGAAAAGGTAATTGTCAGTTGCAGAAGTCCCAGTGAATTACTGCCTGGTGAAAATGTAACTCTGTCACTCAGGCTGGAACTAAATTAAAATCTTTCCAGGCCTCCTCTGAATATCCATTGTATAACAGTAATAGTTTAATCATTAGCATATTGGAGCTAATACTAATATAAATAACAAAAGCTGAATAGAAGCACAACAAGGGAAGACTAAAATCCTTGTAGTGAGGAAATTATGTCCAATTACCTACTATTAGTAAGAAGAGATTTTTCACTGGATTACTTCAGAAGTAGTTAATCTGGTAACCTTCAGAACTCCTGGTCTGTATTTCCTACTTTCCATTAGCCATTCTCACTAGAGTTAATGTGAGTTCGAGTCCAAAACTTAATCTGGAAAGTTCCTGATAATCTGCCCATGGAGGACTCTAAATCAAATCTATCTTAATGACAACTGTTCTTGCTTTTCTCTCTAATTCTTTCCATTAATAGGCTGGAAACTATACAAAATTTAATGTTGTTTGGTGGGAGTGAAAATGAGATGGAAGGGGGGAAACCACTTAAAATAACAAAGCACTTTTTGCAATAATAACTTTTCTCCCCAGAAATCAACCCAGAAATCAACAAATAATGACTCGGAGCCTCACTGTAACTATTTATTTCTTCCTGTTTTAAAAAGGTCCTCCAGATATGTTAGAACCACCTTCCCCAGAACAGACAACAAATTCTGGGAATTATGGACAACAAATTCTGGGAATTACACACTTTGCAAATTTGGAGGCTGCCACAAAGAGGAAGAGGGTGGTACTAGCTTGAACCACCTGACGAACTGAATGGACTCGCTTAGTTTGAGGAACATGTGTTAACTGGTTTTATCCTAAAATAGATCAGAGATTAGAAAATCTGGGGAAACAGACAACCCTAGACAGAAGTTCCATTATGCTGAAAAAGAGGCCTGCTGGTGGCCTTAATGAGAAAGCAACACAATTGAGCTTTGTCCTGGGATGTTATTGAATTTTATATAATTGCATCCAACTTATTAAATACCAAATGGTCTCCTCTGAATAACCTCTCATAGTCAACGCCAGTGTTTCCACATTAAACAGTGTGATGTAAAGCATCCAAGGGATACTTCAGTTGTTCTGATTGTACTAGAGCAGCCAGCTGCACGACGCAACCAGCCATGCCAAAGGCTCTAGTTGAAACTGGAATCTATCTGCAATTAACACTGCCATACAAGAAAGACAAATGAAACCCACTGATCTTCATCTAAAACACCACGCAGAGTTATGGCTATAACCAATGGCAGCAAAGATTAAATAAACAGCATTGTGTCTGCAGCATGGGCACAATATCTGCATGCTTTTCAAAGAACAAAAACAGCCCAAGCACTCAGCACTGTTTACGGTTCTTTACTGAAAACCAGGTGCTCCTCTATTTCTGAATTTCTCTTAGTTGGTACTCAGAGATGGCCCAATGAAAACAGAAGCCTTTGCCAGGTCACAACACCGCAACAAGGCATCCCAGAAGGATTGTATTCCTGAGAAGAATTATGGTATTATGAGTTAAAACACAGCTGAAACAACAGAGCTGGATGCCTCTGCTTCTAAAGAGCACCACAGGTGCCACGGCTCATCCATGAAGCACAGCACAGCACAGCATGCTGGAATTTGAATGTAGCTCTGACAAAACCAGGGATTCTGCGGTGGCACAATACACACACAACAGATCATTCACTATACTCCCCTCAGAAACTGGGAGAATTTACCAATCCTTTTTTCCTTACAACCTACTCTAATCCTTTTTAAGAAATCTGATGGGTTTCCCACCTTCGTTATTCTACAAATAACTCAAAGTAGCAAACATCCAACACAACATCCAACTCCTATTTTTCCCACAACTACAATGCCGTGAGGTATGCTGGGCTGAGAGAGGGGGTCCAGCCCAAAGCTGCCCAACTGGCTTTCAGGACTATGATGGGATTTGATCTCATGATCTCCTGCTTTTTAGCCTGGTACCTTAACCACTTGTTATGGCATCTTGTTAAACCTTAATTTTTACAGGCAGGGTATCCTAATGCAAGATTCGGGAGGGGGGGGGGTTCCCTTCTTTCCTACTCCAAATCAAGTTTAATAAAGCCTAAGAATACTTCACTTATTACCTTTCTTTAGCTAAGAGAGAAAAAGAGAGCAATTCACCATGGAGGAAAAAGAGAGAGAGAGGATCTCTATTACTAATTAGAAATCTTTTCCATATGCAAACACCTCTGAAATAAATTTTCTCAAGTTCAATGGTAATGTAACACTTCACTCAACAAACCAGGAATTCCTCTGGAATATAATGCACCTAGAATTTTCTAAGATATCTCAGTCCAATAGATGACCAATGTTTATGACTAACACGAAGCTATAAACTGTATTTTACAAGGCACTATAGTTGTGTCATATCAGATAAGCCACATTACGCATCAGTACAACCATACAACATGTAACAGTACTATGTGTTGGTACAAATATCATACTGAAATCTAGAGATACATGTTTTACTTATGTTCTACAACAGGGCTGTTGAATTCCCAGCCCACGGGCCGGATGCGTCATGGGCTGGCCACGCCCAGTTTAGCAGAGAGGAAAAAAGTCCTGATACATCACGTGACACCGCCGGGACTACGTGAGTTTGACACTTCTGTTCTACAGTGACAATAAATTCAATAGTTGAAGTTGTTTACTCTCTAACAAGACTAGAAGTTTTTTATTGCCTAAAAAAGCAATAAAAAGCAATTTTTATTATTAAAATCCAAGCAATACAAAATATTTTTCTCTCCAACTTTTAATTAAGCTTACAATAAGTCTGTGAACATTAGGGTAGGATCACTGGGAATTATGATGTAATAGTAACCGTGTTGGAAGGTCTTCTAGCCCAACTCCTTGCTCAAGCAAGAGGCCCTATACCCATGATGGTGAACCTATGGCATGTATGCCAGAGGTGGCACGCAGAACCCTCTCTCTGGGCACATGAGCCGTCGCCCCAGCTCAGCTCTGTCGCACATGCATGTGCACCTCCCGCCGGCCAGCTGCACTTCGGGTCCCTGCCATGCATGCATGGGGGCGGGGCATGCAGTAGTTGTGCATGCATGTATGGGGCGCATACACAGGGTTCATGTGCACATGAGCAGGATACATGCACAGGATTGCCTGTGCATGCACAGGGGTGCAGGGGTCACCCTTGCATGTGTGGGGGCCCAGGGCATGCACATTTTGGGCACTTAATGTTAGCCATCATTGCCCTAAACCATTCTGGACAAATGACAATCCAATTTCTTCTTAAAAACCTCCAGTGAATGGAGCACCTACAACCTCTGGAATAAAAGCTTTTTTGTTTTGCTGATTATTTGTTCTCACTGTCAGAAAATTTCTCCTTAGTTGGGTCTTTCTTTGGTAAGTTTCCAACTGTTATTTCTTGTCCTGCCCTTAGGTGCTTTGGAGAATAGATTGTTCCTATCTTCTCTGTAGCAGCCCTTCAGTGCAGAAAATCAGATCTTTTTCTCCAAGGAATTTTCTAAGTGATTTTGGGGGAGAGTAATGATCAAGAGTACAAGAACAGAACAATACCCATCACGCACCAAAGTTTGTAAGGGTATGTAATTGCAGTTTAAAAATCTAGAATTAATTTTGTAAATCGAGACATTAACATTTGAACTACTACAAGTCCATGTATTTGCCATACACTAAATAATAATAAAATTGTAAATCAAAAGGTGAACATGTTGGGAGAGTCATTTATTTCTGGGTAGTAAATACTCTGATCTTAGGAGGCACATGTTGCCACATGCATCAGGGACTACAACTAGACTGACACACACTGCACCCAGGAAGTATCTACTCATGCAGGTTTTCCCCGCTAATCCATTAACAGGTACTCAAAATATCAGAAAAAAATTAAAGGAAAAGAAGCCATTTTTCAGGTAGCTTCACAATTAAAAAATAAATGGAACAATTTCAAGTGCAGACCATCTGAGGGAGTCTCAAGATTACTACCGTACAATCTGGGCTCTCAGAACCAGTTCCATTCTTCAATGGATCTTACTTTGTGTCCAAGTTTTAAGCTACAACATAATAATATTTTTTTAAAAATGGCACTATCTTGTCCCGTGACTATTAGGCAGAATTAAAACGGAACTGGCCACAAAAACCTAACATTAGGAAAGGTAGCAGTAAAAGAAAGAGACAGTCAGCTGTAACTCTTTGCTAAATTCCGGTTTTAGCCATTTTTTTTTTCAGCCAGCGGTAGCCTTAGGTAAAAGATTGCAGGTTTAAGTAGATTGTAAAGAGAAGCCAGCTAGAAGAAATGGGAAGCGTTTTCCCCCCACCCGCTTCTGTTGTATTAGGAATGTTTATAGAGAAGCCACGTGTGCAGATGGATAAAGTTCACTTCAAAAACGTCAACCCGCTGAACAAACTCCAGCACCAAAGGCAAGCAAGGGTTCCAGAAAATCCAAAGCACAGCTGTGGCCCCCGTCCAGACGCTGTACCTTGTTTTCTAGACAATAATGCTTTACTCTAGAAACCAATCCAAAGTATAGCTACCTTTCTCCTCCTCTAAAGCAGTCCGGGTCCGGTCTACTCCTGCTTCCCCCACCCACCCCCCAAAAATACCCCAAGCCCGCTTTCCTATTACGCGTGGCACCGATCCTTCACCAGCTGCAAGCCGCGTTAAGAGTGAAGAGAAGCCGTGTTTTGTCCCCAGCCCCACAAACCCAACCTCTGGCCGGAAGAGTTACCATGTCCATATTTTCCCTCTTTTTGTCGTACTCCTTCCCAAGCCGGCTCCACTCCTCCCAAGCAGCCCATGCCTTGGCTCAAAAGGAAAGGAGTCTGGCCAACTTCCTCTATCCCGAACTGCCGAGGGAAAGCCGGCAGCAAGAGGCAGAGGAGGAGGAGGAGCGTCGATGCAGGAGAATCGCACCTGAGCTCAGGAACCGGCTCCTCCCCGTCTAAAGAATGGGGCCGTCTGGCGAGCCAGATTAGGTTCACCTGTCAAAAGAGCTAGCTCTGAGATGGAGCGTTCTCCCTCTCTCTCCCTGCCTCCTCCTCCTCCCTCCCTTCCTTCTTCCTCACTCTTTCTCTCCCTCCTTCCTGTCTAAAGCCTGTAGAGCCAGATTAGGTTCACCTGTCAAAGGAGCTGAACAGAATAGAGTAACAGAGTTGGAAGGGACCTTGGAGGTCTTCTAGTCCAGTTCCTGCTTAGGCAGGAAACCCCACATCACTTCAGACAAATGGTTATCCAACATCTTTTTTAAAAACTTCCAGTGTTGGAGCCTTCACAACTTCTGGAAGCCTTCACAACTTCTGATTAATTGTTCTAACTGTCAGGAAATGTCTCCTTAGTTCTAAGTTGCTTCTCTCCTTGATTAGGTTCCATCCATTGCTTCTTGTCCTGTCCTCAGGTGCTTTGGAGAATAGCTTGACTGCTTCTTCTCTGTGGCAGCCCCTGAGATATTGGAACACTGCCATCATGTCTCCCCTAGTCCTTCTTTTCATTAGACTAGGCATATCCATATTCCTACAACCGTTCTTCATATGTTTTAGCCTCCAGTCCCCTAATCATCTTTGTTACTCTTCTCTGCACTCTTTCTAGAGTCTCAACATCTTTTTTACATTGTGGCGACCAAAACTGAATGCAGTATTCCAAGTGTGACCCTACCAAGGCATTATAAAGTGGTATTAACACTTCACATTGTCTTGGTTCTATCCCTCTGTTTATGCAGCCTAGAACTGTGTTGGCTTTTTGGGTAGCTGCTGCGCACTGCTGGTATCTCACACTGGTCCAATCTCCCTCCCTCCCTCTTTCTCTCTTCCTTCCCCCCTCCCCTCCCTCCCTCCCTCTCCACACCAGAAGCATTTGCCTTAAGCCATGGCTACTTCATCTGGAAAGCAAGTCCCACAGCCAGGGCCTTTCAAGCAAAGATTGTGCTGCCCAAGGGACATAGCAGCAAACCAATTTAAGCCTCTTTTGCCACTCCAGACGGGAGATATGTACAAGTTGGTTTGGGTGATTATTTTGTGGAAATAATAATCAGATGTATTATTTGATATGTTTTGCATTCTCATCTGTTTTGGTCTGAACACAGATGGCTACTCTGATGCAATGCATAAAGACAACTGTGCCTGGTGTTCTTCTCTTTCATTTTTTTTCCTTTTGGTTTCCTCTGAAAAGGCAATAACATACTTTAACAAATATCAAAGGAAGAGGGCTAGAGGCAGACTCTAAATTAGCCAGAGATTGAGACAAGTTAATTGCACTTTGTCTAGGCAGAGGCTACTACCCAGTCAGAATTAAATAGAATGTATCCTTATTGGTTTTGATGTAGTTAATTTTTTTCCAAGGAAAGCAATTTTATTTTAAATAGCTTAGCCAGAATAGCTAAGAAGTTTTAATCAGCTCCTATATGAGTTTAGTGTTGGTCATATTTTTAATATTTCTGAATACCAACCAACAATGGAGCACAATCTCGTATTGTTTTATTTACCATTGGCTTTAAAATGTATTCAGGTTTGCAGCTTTTAATAAAAGACTGGCATTCAGTATTGTTTAAAAGTTCCCGGTGAGTCAGGAAATTGTTCTACCTGCCAAGAATGTGCTTTGTCTGACTGGAAATATTTGCATTCTCTCCTGAAGACCAAATGCATCTTTTATTTCAAGATGCAATGAATATATAGTTGTCTATATATTTGACTTATGACCACAACTGAGCCTAAAATTTCTGTTGCTAAGTGAGACAGTTGTTAAGTGAGTTTTGCTCCATTTTACGGCCTTTCTCACCTCAATTAAGTAAATCACTGTAGTTGTTAAGTTAGTAGCATGGCTGTTAAGTGAAGCTGGCTTTCCCGTTGACTTGGCTTGTCAGAAGGTCATGAAAGGTGATCACATGACTCCTGGGGCACTGCAATCATCATAAATATGAATTAGTTGGCAAGCATCTGAATTTTGATCACATGACTACTCTTAACAGATAATCAGAGTTGGAAGGGACCTTGTAGGTCATTTAGTCCAACCCCCCACCCAAGCGGGAGACTCTACACCATTTCTGACAAATGGCAGTCCAATCTCTTCTTGAAGGTCTCAAGTGATGGCGCTCCCACAACTTCTGAGGGCAAGCTGTTCCATTGGTTGTTTGTTCTCACTGTCAGAAAGTTTCTCCTTATTTCCAGGTTAAATCTCTCCTTGTTCAGTTTCCATCCATTGTTCCTTGTCTGGCCTTCGGGTGCTTTAGAACAGTGGTTGCCAACCAGTGGGCTGTGGACCACTGGTGGTCCGCAAGAAAATTTTGCTGGTCCGCAGAGAAATGTCACCCCCAAAGCACCCCCAAAACAATTAATCCAGGCTATATGGGAACACAAAGCTGTGCCACCCACATGGCCCACGGGAACACAAGGCTTGTGTCGCTCGTATTGCGAACAACATGAGGTAGTGAGGGGAAGGGGGAAAGGGGGGAGGGGGAACTTGCCCTACTCACCCCATGCACCTCACCTGGCCATCGTGCTGCTTCTGTCCACTTCTTCTTCTGCTTTTGGCTCCATGCAAGGAAAGCAGCAAAAGTCTTTCTTTCTCTCCCCCAAACTCCGCCAGAAATGAGTCTTTGGGACCCTACAAGGCATCCTACTCCAAGAGGCTGTGCTGGCAGAGACTCATTTCTGGTGGAGTTTGGGGGAGAGAAAAAAAGACTTCTGTGGCTTCTGCTGCTTTCTTTGCATGAAGCCAAAAGTCTCTCCCTCCCACCCCCCCGAGAATGGAGCTGGAAATGGTATTCTGTGATCCCAAAAAGAGAATGATTGATCGGTAGGAAAACGGGGTGGGGAATTTTCCTGAAAACCTTTTTGAGGATTTTCCCAGGGTCTCTAGTCCACGGGATTTAAAATTATGAGTTTTGTGGTCCCTGGGGTCCAAAAGGTTGAAGACCCCTGCTTTAGAATATAGCTTGATCCCTTCCTCTCTGTGGCAGCCCCTCAGATATTGGAAGACTTCTATCCTGTCTCCCCTGATCCTTCTCTTCACTAGACTAGCCATGCCCAGTTCCTGTAACCGTTCTTCATATGTTTTAGTCTCCTGTCCCCTAATCATCCTGGTTGCTCTTCTCTATACTTTTTCTAGAGTCTCAACATCTTTTTCATAGTGTGGGGACCAAAACTGGATGCAATACTCTAGGTGTGGTCTTACTAAGGCTTTATAGAGTGGTATTAATACCTCACTTGATCTCAATTGTATCCCTCATGTTAATGCAACTTAGGATTGCATTAGCTTTTTTGGCTGCTGCTGCACATTGCTGGCTCATATTTAGCTGGTTGTCCACTAAGACTCCAAGATCCCTCTCACAGTTATTGCTATTGAACTTGGTTTCACCCAGTCTGTATGTATACTTTTGGTTTTTCTTGCCTAAGTGTAGGACTTTACTTTTCTCTATATTGAATTTCATTTTATTAGATATGGCCCAGTGTTCTTGTCTGTCAAAATCCATCTGGATCTTGAGCCTATCTTCTTGGGTGTTAGCTATTCCTGCCAGCTTAGTATCATCTGCAAATTTGGTAAGTTCCCCTTGTATTCTATTCTAACTCATTTTTCAGTGCCATTGTGCCTTTAAACAGTCACTAAACAAACTGTTGTAAGTCAAGGACTACCTGTAGTTATTCAGGAGTTGACATTATCATTTCAAATCATCAGTTGGACTCGCTCAGTACTTGAGGGATTAGAATTGCTATAGGAACATTACATGCACCACATATTATCATGTATCTGATTGCCATTTCACAGTGCCTGAAAACAGATTGACATTGATAAGTAAGCAAAGCCTTGGGACACATTGTCTTTAGTTCTGAATGGAGAGGCATTACCCCAGACAAGCCCAGTGTTCAACTTGGGGATTCTCCTAGAATTACGACTCCTATTCAAAGAATCAGTGACAGTTGTGGCCAAGAAAGCCTTTGTACAACTTTGGGAAAGCTGTGCCCTTTTCTGGATTGTAAGGCTGTTTAAGTGCTAATCTGTTTTTTTAGAATGACAACCAGCCTGTTTGGAGTGGTTGATTATTGCTTTGTCCAATCAAGGAAAATGTTCCATTTCTAGTCCTGGATCTATTCTAGCTACAAATCAATTTACTGTAACTTACCTTCCTAAATATCCTTAATGCAATTATTAATATCTAATCTAGTTTCACCCTTTGTGCCATTATAAAAATGGCATCATATTGGAGAGATTAGGATTGTGGAAATATTTATTCAGGCCAGTTCATTTGTGATCAGTTTGTTAGATGTTTTAAGAGTCACTACTAGGAATTTGTCACATGACATTGGTGGGCAGGACTCCTTCTCATTTTCTCATTTCCTTCATTCACGAGTCTGTGTTAATTTGAAAACCTCCTGAAGCTACAAGTGTATTGAGGAAAATCTAAAGCATTTTGGAATGGACATGGAAAGATGCCAATGAAAAGCAATGTAATTTTTTTTATAAATGCCATTATTCATAATACCAAAAGTTAAATAGAGCTTGAAATATACATTAAACCAGTTTAAATAGGGGGAATGTATGACTCACCCTATTTTAATGACACTTCCTATTTCTTAAAATGAATTGAAGGTTAAAGTCTACCTACTCCAGTGGTTAAAAATTCAAGGTGGGTTATAAAAGTAATTTTAAGAAATGATAGCGTAACATTTAAGTAATGATCATTAAGTAATGATTCTGTGTAGCATGTGTTGTCAATACCATGAATTCCAAGGCAACAGTTGACATAGTACCGTGTTTCTCATATAATAAGGCTAGGTTTTATTTTTTTTTGAGCCCCGAAAAAATGGCTAGGCTGTCTTTTCGGGGGTGACTTAATTCCCCCCCCTTGCATCTTTGGGTGGGCGGGTGGCAACGGCTTGGATGTTGACCTCG